CGTAGTAGTACGTAGTAGTGTGTAGTAGTGTGTAGTACTTTGATGCAGTTTTCACTAACTTTTCTTTTTGATGGAACATTTGGTTTTTAATAACAAGCTACGATGGCTAACAAGCGGCGATGGCTAACGAGCTACGATGGCTAATGAGCTACGATGGCTAACGAGCTACGATGGCTAACGAGCCAGTGAGCAGGTGAATTATTATTCTGGCACAAATCTTTGAACACTTCTCTTTTTGGCGACGTTCAGGTGGTCGGGGAGCGGGTTGATACGGGGTCAGGGTTAAAACGCCACTGGATACGAGTGACATCACAGTGAGTGTCTGTACAGCCTTTGATACTCAGAGTGAGACACCTAGTGGCATAAACTGAGGCGGACAAATGTGTGTGTTTCCTATGGACGACGCAGCGTTCAGACTGAAATGAAATCATTCTCACAGCTGGAAAAACTCATAATAAATGTTGGAGGGGGGCAGGAGAGCTGTGGGGGAGCGGCTAAAATAAGTCTTGAGAAAGACATTTGGATGGAATGTAAGGGTTGGTGGTTTTCCAGTGTAGTCAGTCTGCCAGGATCATCCACTGTGTTGAAATGACTGTGAAAACACTGTGAAGAAATGTTTGGTATGTGTGTAGCAGTGTGGTAGAAGGGGGGGGGGGGGACGTGACTGGCGGTTCCTGTACCTTGGTGAGGTGATACACACACTGCTGGAAGGTGTGCATGATGACATCATCCAGCTGAGCCAGAGCCTCTGAGCAGGTGTCCATGTCAGCCGTCAGAGCTGGGTCTCCAGGGGCTTCAAACACAGTGCTCAGACAAATGAGAGAGAGAGTGTGAGAGTGTGTGTGTGTGTGTGTGTGTGAGTGTGAGTGTGTCCTTTCATCCATGTTTTTATTACCTCTGAATCACTCTCACCTTCAAACTCCCACTCCTTCTCCATGCTCTCAACTTTGACCTGGAAAAAGTTGAGGAGCTCCGTGGCGTTTGACATCCAGAACATCAGGGGCCGCAGGTCCAGTGACAGCTTCTGAACATTGGGGGCGCTAATCTCCCCCTCCTGCTCTGTGGAACTGGAGATGAAAGCAGTTTAACAGTCAGGTCAACGTGTCTCTGTGCTGAGACAGAGACACGTGACTTTGACGCTCCTCCAACACTGAAATCATTCCAGAAGAATCCAGCAGCCAAACATCAGCAGAAGGTCAAAGGTCAGATGATGAAACAGACAAGAACTCTTACTTCTGTGTGGGATGCTTATCCCCAAATTCCTTAATGTTATCCTGTAAAGAGAGTTGGAGAGACAAGAGAGGAGAAGCCTGTGAGCCCAGTGTGGGGGAGGACGAGGGGGCGCAGCGTCTCGTCCTGCAGCCAGGACAATTACAGCACATTTTCCAGCAGGAGGGAAGTGACATCAGCGCATCTCTGCTCCTGTCCACGACCTAACACGTCTGTCTGACTGACTGGCTGTCTGACTGACTGACTGACTGACTGACTGACTGACTGTTTGTCTGACTGACTGACTGTCTGACTGACTGACTGACTGTCTGACTGTTTGTCTGACTGACTGACTGACTGACTGACTGTCTGTCTGTCTGACTGACTGACTGACTGACTGACTGTCTGTCTGTCTGACTGTCTGACTGACTGACTGTCTGGCTGTCTGACTGACTGTCTGTCTGACTGACTGTTTGTCTGACTGACTGTTTGTCTGACTGACTGTTTGTCTGACTGACTGTTTGTCTGACTGACTGACTGTTTGTCTGACTGTTTGTCTGACTGTCTGACTGTTTGTCTGACTGTCTGACTGACTGTCTGACTGTCTGACTGTCTGACTGTCTGACTGACTAACTGTCTGTCTGACTGACTGTCTGTCTGTCTGTCTGACTGACTGACTGTCTGGCTGTCTGACTGACTGTCTGTCTGACTGACTGACTGACTGACTGACTGACTGTTTGTCTGACTGACTGTTTGTCTGACTGACTGTCTGACTGTCTGACTGACTGACTGACTGTTTGTCTGACTGTTTGTCTGACTGTCTGACTGACTGACTGACTGTTTGTCTGACTGACTGACTGACTGTCTGACTGTTTGTCTGACTGTCTGACTGACTGACTGACTGACTGACTGACTGTTTGTCTGACTGTCTGACTGTTTGTCTGACTGACTGACTGTTTGTCCAGGACTGAGTTCTAGACTAAATCTGTTGGACCTTAGTGTAAAAAAAGATGACAGGAATGACTGTGGGGGAGGGAGAGAGAGAGAGAGAGACAGAGGGAGAGAGAGAGAGAGAGAGAGAGAGAGAGAGAGGGAGAGGGGGAGGTCTAAGGTCAGGGTCAGTTCTTAATCCCTGTGTCTGACTCACCCAGACGATTTCTTTGATCAAATTGGCCGACTTGAGTAATATCTGGGGCGTGAGGGCGGGGTCCAGGTGTTTGGAGGCGTGGTCTATCATGATTGACAGGAGGTAGGCTGGAGCCAGTGGTCCTCCACCAGAGTCTGGAGACGAGTTCTTAGAGATGATCTCCTGTAGACGGGGACAACTTCAAGTACTACGCCAAATACTACACAGCTTTGTGTCCTTTTCTACTCACCTGCAACAAGGCGTCTGCATGACGGGGGTGGAACTTCAGCACCGCCTCTGTTGATCCCAGGTACTGCCTCAGAGCCTCCTGTCTGTCGACCAGTCCTGAGGGGCAACAGCCGGCGGAGGCGTCCGCCTGCCATGGCAGAGTCAAAGCCAGCGGTGGCGCTGGTGTGACCCGGGGGTCACGGTACAGGAAAAGAAAATGCTCCCCCAGGCCGATCACATCCCCAGGTCTGAGGACGGTCTCCCTGTAAAGAGCCGCTCCGTTGTGTGTCACCGCCCCCCCCCTGAAGGGTCGCATCAGAGCTGGGGGAGGATGACAGAACATTAGACGGTGAAACCACGGTGTGGTACTCATTCACACCAGGAGGGGGAGCACCGTCGGTACCTCGTCCAGCGGGGGTCTCAGGAACAGCCGAGTCTCGTCTCACAAGTAAGTGTCGGGCCAGAAGGTCGGGGGCAGAGAGGAGGGTGTCCACCCGGGGGGGCCTCCGCCCCTTCCTCTCCCTCTCCCTGTCCTTCTCTCTCTCTCTCATGGTGGGCTTCCGTCCAAACACGTGTGTGTGGGCCGTCATGATGTACAAGACAAAGTCCTACACACACACACACACACACACAGAGAGGCGGGGGGGGGGGGGGGGGGGGGGGGGGGGGGGG